AAACGCTGAGATCCGGGGTCCGTTCTTCGTACCTCGCTTAAATGATCTAAGATTATTTGGCAGATCCCGGATCTTTTAATCTTGATAACTGATCTCTCGCTAATTTGGTTCTTCAAACAAGTTCGCGGATCAGATTAGAATGTCTGGATAAACTGATCTGAGATCGCTGCGTGTGTTGTGAAGGACAGATCTATCGATCCTCGAAATCATGATCAGCAATGCAGCGATTGGCTGACGGCACAGCAGCGTAATGACATCATCTGATTAATATTCAATTATCCATGTGAGCAAAATTACATCAAATTAGCAGTAAACGGCTTGTTAAATATGACACGCAATACCCTTCCCCATTTGTTGTGAGCTGCAGGCTTTACACTTTCATTTGTCAAGACAAGAGTATTCATCATGTATTTCAATGCAAATCAATGTATTTAGTTCTACATTTAGAAAAGATTTTCTTTATTATAGTAGCCATTTTTTAATTGGTGTAAAGAATAACTGGTTGTTTACAAAAGTGTTTTCATATTGTTAAAGGCGTCTGCAACTTTTGTGAAGCATCAAATCACCGGCATATTAACTATCAAAACATGTTTATGACTGCATAAATGTATTATTGCTTTAAAAAAGTCACATATTGTGCATTTCTATTATACACAGTTTGTACTAAAGCGATCTAAAAAGTTCATATCAATAAGCTTTCTCTTTGCACCACCAGGTGGCAGTCTTTGTAGCCTACTTTTATTTCGAGGGTGCTGATTGCATACGTTTTATTAAAATGTATAACTTAATTTATTTTATTAATGACTATAACTTTATTTATATAGTTTAAAAATATGTACCATTTCCCTAAGTTTATATAACTACTACTGTAAGAAAGTATCAGAATTCGGAACATACTTTCTGTATTATCTTTGCTTGAACTGAGCCAATCTAATCCTGTTTATATGAATTGAACCTGCTCCCGATCAGGTTTGACCTAGCAGAACTGTTGCTATGACAACAACTCTCGGATCAGCTTTGAAGAACGAAACGATCCTGGATCATGTCAAATCGTCAATATCCAAATCCAGCTAACTGAGTAATCCACGTACGAAGAATGGACCCCCGGATTCGCTTGTAGTCTCCTCTTAATAAAGACACGGCTCTAGTTGCTGGTGATTGTACTGTCTCTACAGATTTGGTAAGTGAGCGACCAGTGCTCTTTGTTTATTCAGTTTGTTCGTATCGAACAAACTATTGCACAGAGTATAAACATGTTAGCACCACAACCAAACTTTAACCTCGTGTAGGATTTTCACCGCATTTTGTGACCGAAATAACACACGCAGCTTTCTGACGCTACCTGCCGAGTGCATCAAATTTTCCGGGAAATGCTGAGTTTTTTTTTTCTCTCATTCGCTGTGCGATATCAAACATTGCATGAAAAATACACGCTTAGAGCAGTTCCTCGAATCAAATATCTCATTTGTCGCGAGGGACATGAATGAATTCCCTGAATGAAAAAGCCAAACTGCAGTCAAAGTCCACCATTTAATAATTTGGCAAATAATTTAACTACAGATGTCCATGTAAACAAAGTCCCTTTCTCCCCTGTGTGTGTGTGTGTGTGTGTGTGTGTGTGTGTGTGCGTGCGTGCGTGCGTGCGTGCGTGTGTGTGTTGACTCTGAAAGTCAGCGTGCCCAAATAGACACTCCCACACCTTGCCTCTTTTCTTTCTTTGACACTCCCCCCTAAACAGAGCTGGACATGCCCACTTTTCTGACTTTTTCCAAAGTAGAGGTGTGAAAACACCCTGCTGAAACGAGGGGGTTTCATGGCCCTTTACAGAATGGATTTACTTCTCGGAGTTAACACCTGATTATGATGTTAGTCCTGTTGTTGGTGTCCAAAGGGAAAATCCTCCTGCACACACAGACAACAGTTCATAAAACTGGGCTCAGCTCAGTCAGAAGCACCGCTGAATTTGACGTGCAAATGAATTGTATTTGATGTGCAAATGAAGCATGAATGAAGCGAATAAACTCGTATGTTCACTTGTATTTACGTCGGAATAGCATGATTTATTCACGTGTTCCTCGTCTGGTGTGAACACAGCATAACAGCTAACAAGCAATGTATGTGTGCGAATGGTGTATTTATGGTCCATATTGTTTGGGAACCGACAGTTTTTACCCAAATATGACCAGTCTGTCATAGTCTGTCAGAGAGTTAATTAAAGAAAGTTTGCTGAAGATAGTTTGTGAAGTATCATCAGCAGAAGCCAGCTACAATACTCAAAAAGAGTTCATAGGGCGCTCTGTCATCAACAGTCATACTTAGTATAGCAATATACTTAATATTACATAGTATACTTACTAATTATAACATAATGTCACTAACTGCATCTTACATAGGTGTTTTAAACTGATAGGTTAAAACACTTATGGACTTTCACAAATGGGACATTTCCACATGTGCGTACAATTTTGAGCAATATCTCCAATGATTAAACATACAAATATCAGTTCTACATCTATTCAGAACTGACAGACAAATTAATAGAACACACACACAAAGTACAATGTGTTTCATAACTGGTACAGTCAACTTCCAACTGGCAGCTTCATAATATACAGAAAGTCTATTTTGCATACAAAGGAATTTACTAACAAGTATTAACACATAAAGTGGCAAATAACTCATTATACCTTGTTTCCAGTCCATCGAATGTCCAGTTCCACATAAGGTCTCAACGACATCTTGAGTGTGCCTGAAGATCCTCAGGAAACAAATAATTTAGCAACAGAAAAAGCAATGGCACATATGTAATTAAAGTTTTACTTTGAGGAGGGATGACACAAAGGTCATCATATAATAGGCCCTTAAACATTTAGCTTTTTAAATAACCTTAACGATCCTGGAGTAACACACAAAATCATCAGAAAATCCATACCTTTAATGTTATAATGATAAAGTACTTCACCTCTGTTTGTAATTAGGGTAAACTTGAATCTTGGTGTTTGAACACAGGGTATGATGGGATTTGTAGTTGAAAAGGATACAGGAAGAGCTCACCAGCGACCTGCGAGGGCAACACCACTGTTGATCATAACAGATGATATCAGTAATTTGATTTCAGTAATTAAAAAAAAGAACCCAAGTGACTATGCCAGTTACTGGCTGATATCATTGATTGTTGAATGCTATCTTAAAATCTTGCTAACCATTTACAAAAAGTAATAACTATAATCACTTCCTGAATAACTGGCACCAAATATCAAAAGTATCATAGAATTTGCTGCGGTAGAAGAAACTACATGAATCTTTTCTTTATTAAATTGCTTGCACCTGAGAAGACAATGTCGACGCACAATGAACGTGTGGTGGCATTTGAAGGTGTGAGATACTGAGCACAGATGCACTTGACAATTCTGTAAATAATTCATTATGTAATAACACTAATACTGCAATGGGTAAAGCGTTTTAGAATGATCAAAACAATATTTCAGATGTTTTACATTTTGAGATGTTGTACAATGTGGTCAGCCTGCTGGTTTATCCATTCAAACACATTTTTATTTTAATATAATCTCCTTTAACAAAAGCACATAATTTTTTAATGCGCATACTGGAATTTTGTTATGTAAAAGTGTTTTTTCTTACTGAATAAAATTCATCTTACTTAAGTTATGCGCGCACGTTTTTTTTATGCACATTTTCAAAATGTATGTGTTTCCATGAATTATTTTTATGCCCATATTCAACATGCACATAAAAAATAGGTGGATGGAAAATCCTAATGATAGCAAAATTATCTTTGCCAGCACATTATCATCCAATTATTTCACATCTCCAGTTTGGAAAAAGACCCTAAATCTACTATCTGGGCTAATACAAAAATGTTAATGGGGGAACATGAGTATTATAGAAGGATAGATTGATAGATAACAATATTAACAATCTTCTTTATAAAGATGTTAAATTAATACATTTTGATGATACAATGATTTGTAATGTAACAACTGATGGCCATATGGCTTCTAAATATTATGCTTTACTTGTTGGTCAAGCCAGTCAAAATATCAGCTCTGCAGTTGGGACAATATGAGAAAAAGAATGATATAAATCAATTAAAACACAAAACTGAGTTATGTCCCCTACAGTTTGAACCGCGATACTCTCTCTTAGCAAACCGAGGTACCCCCACCAATGCAAAGTCTGCATTTTAAAACACAACCACATAGTTTTCAAATTAAAACTGTTCTACTTTCAGGTGTTATCAAAAGCTCCATTTTAGTAAGGATACCATGCAGAAAAAATGTTTTGCATTGTAAGATTAAAAGCAGTGCAAACACAGCCGCAAATCTGACACACGTCTCCACATGGTGAGACAGCATTTGAAAAGTGCAGTAACATTGGTGGTTGAGCATCTTTTCAGCCATAGAAACTCAGTGATTTTGCTTAGCCATAAATAGTTGGGATGCACAATATTGTGTTTTTGAAGATATGAGTAAGTTATTTTTATTTAAAAATATTTGTATTCTTTTTGTAATATCTTAGATATTATAAACTTATATTATAAGCTTTTTTGACAGAGATGATGCCAATATCTTTTTTGTGTATGTGTTTTTAACAAGTGTTTATTTACATGTTAGTTTTTCTGGGTCTGGTAAAAATAAGCATCAGAGTAAATTAATAAACAAAACATGTTGTCAGTCTGTTGCATTCTGTTGTAATATAACTTCATTTAATAGCTATGACATTCTGCTCTTTTGTCAATTTTATTTGTCATATCATTACAATTAAAACTTCATACGGTATATTACTCATTTATGTCTTATGGGTCACCCTGAACAGGCATGCGTTTCCACTGCCAACAATATCCTTACATTAAAGTTTGATATAATAAAAAAGTTCTAAAGTAATCAATATCATTCTCACTCAAAGAAAGTTGTTCGGGCTGTTCACATGCAGCATCTGTTGCAAACTCGTCTATAATAGTCTTATTTTATTCTTTTTAGGTCATCTTACTCGTGCCGTTTCTTTGTGCTTCCTTGCTGCTTTTTTGACTTTTGTGGAAAGTACCAACGAAGACAGTGTACAAAGTCTCAGTATAAGGAGTACATTGACTTCATCACTGATGTAAGCACAGTGTGTGGTTTCTACGCAGAGGAAGACTGTCTGAGGATACCGTCCACTAAACGGGTATGTTGGTCCAGTGTGTAGTGTTGGGATTGTAGACTGGACTGTAAATTACTAATAAATTCTCATTACCTGTTTCTCACATTATCTAATCTCATAGAAACACATCCTTGTTCTGCTGTTAACAGAACATGTTTGTTTATGATTTAGCCCAACTCAGCTAGAATACAAGATTTAAGAGACTGAACAAAGCTCCTTCATGTTCTGCATAGGTGTACACAATTTCACCTGTGATCCTCGAAAATGCAATTGTGTGCATGTGTACTTCTGCTCTAATACTTTCAGTCCTGCTGAAGTTCATTTTTGTTAAAAGAATAAGCTTTCATATGAAACTTGAATGTGGGACTTAAGACCCATATGCTTAAAAAAGTTATTTATTTGTTCTTTGTTCTCTGAATTGGAACCTAAATTGTTCATACTTTAGAATGATTTTCAGAGTATGTACTTTCTTCTTGAAGTTCATATGTTTAGTATGCCCAAGTTTACTCAAAAATGAAACTTTTCTGTTATTAACTCACCCACAGATCATCCAAGATGTAGTTGCCTCTCTTTTTCAGTAGATTTTCAGCTGAATCTGGTCTTTGTTGATTTTTATAATAGTAGTCAAAGGCATAGTCTTTTGAGATAAAAGGTAAACACGTACAAACAAGTCATGATGGCTGCTGATGACGCACAGAGGTCTGAGCAAAACAATCAATTAATGCAAGAAATGAAACATCATTTCTTACCTTTATATATATATATATATATATATATATATATATATGTGTGTGTGTGTGTGTGTGTGTATATATATATATATATGTGTGTGTATATATATATATATGTGTGTATATATGTCAGGGTTGGTGATGAGAAATGGGGAAAAAGGAGCGAGGACTCAAATGCAGGGAAATGGGATTTTATTAAATAATAAAAATAAAATAAAATGCAAAATAAACTACCCCGAGGGGGAAAACATTAACAAAACAAATACATACACATACAAACAGGACTGGGCAGACTGGCAAGGATGAGGACTGGAAACACAACAGGACTAGACTTCAAACGACGAAATGTGATGACGAACTGACACAGGACAGCAAAAGTGAGGGGTATATAAACTGTAGAAGATTAACACACAAACAGGTGAACACAATAAACTAATAATGGGTTAACAAGGAGGGTGGGACAAGACAATAGACGGGAGAGCGCATGACACAGAGAGACAATACAAGCCATGCGCTCACATAACACAACAAGAACATGCAGCCAATGAGAGAACTCATTAACCGCATGTTCATGACAACAAACACAACACTGAAGCACACGACAAAAGCACGTGACCACAATGTAAACACCGAGCCACGTGCTTTGACAAGAGACGCAAGACACGAGCACACGATGAATGAAAACTCACCATGCGCTCACATATGCAGCATGCATGCTTCATCCCAGCGCCGACCAAAACCGAAACCAACAAGACTGAGACGCTGGGAATGAAACACCATGCTGCTGACAGACGAAAACACAAACACGAGTACAAGAGCCCACGCGTCTGAGGGACGCAGAGCGCGCACGCGGCCACGTCAAGCAGGAGCGCGCACACTCTGCGTACACCCACGACGGCGCGCGCACACAGAGACAGAAACAGGACCAGACATGAGTAGCGTCAAAGATCTGCCACCAAAACAAGAATTTACAAGATCAGAGTGGCAGAACCCTGACACTACCCCCCCCAAAAGGGACGCCACCTGGCGTCCCTAAAGGGAACATCCAACAAGGTACAAGACAGACAAGAAACACCACAAGACAACAAAACAAGCAACATCAACAAACAAGACAGGGAGGTGAACAGGCAAGACATGAAGGGGGGGAGGGAGGGGAGCCAAGTCAGACCCAACACGACAAACAAGGGAGGGATGGGAGGGCAAGACAAGGGAGGATCAGTCCAGGGTGGGACCGGAGGAACTGTCCAGGGTGGGTCCAGCGGGTCGAGAGCCCTAGCAGGGAACCAGGGTGGAGCCGGAGGGTCCGTCCAGGGTGGAGGAAAGGAACACCAGGGAGGGGCAGGAGGGACGACCCAGGGAGTGTCTATGAGGGGAAACAAGACCAGAGGTCTGTGGGGGGCCGGCAGGGCAAGGAGCCGGGCTGGAACCGGCAGGGCTAGACGTCTGGTAGGTGCCGGCAGGGAAAGGAGCCGGGCTGGGGACGGCAGGGCTAGACGTCTGGGTGGTGCCGGCAGGGAAAGACGTCTGGGTGGTGCCGGCAAGGCAAGGAGCCGGGCTGGGGCCGGCAGGGCAAGACGTCTGGTTGGGGCCGGCAGGGCAAAAAGCAGGGCTGGGGCCGGCAGGGCTAAACGTCTGGTAGGTGCCGGCAGGGAAAGGAGCCGGGCTGGGGCCGGCAGGGCTAGACGTCTGGGTGGTGCCGGCAGGGCAAGGAGCCGGGCTGGGGCCGGCAGGGCAAGGAGCCGGGCTGGGGCCGGCAGGGCAAGGAGCCGGGCTGGGGCCGGCAGGGCTAAACGTCTGGTAGGTGCCGGCAGGGCAAGACGTCTGGTAGGTGCCGGCAGGGCAAGGTGCCGGGCTGGGGCCGGCTGGGCAAGACGTCTGGGTGGTGCCGGCAAGGAGCCGGGCTGGGGCCGGCAGGGCTTGACGTCTGGGTGGTGCCGGCAGGGCAAGACGTCTGGTAGGTGCCGGCAGGGCAAGGTGCCGGGCTGGGGCCGGCAGGGCTTGACGTCTGGGTGGTGCCGGCAGGGCAAGACGTCTGGTAGGTGCCGGCAGGGCAAGGTGCCGGGCTGGGGCCGGCTGGGCAAGACGTCTGGGTGGTGCCGGCAAGGAGCCGGGCTGGGGCCGGCAGGGCTTGACGTCTGGGTGGTGCCGGCAGGGCAAGGAGCCGGGCTGAAGCCGGCAGGGCAAGACGTCTGGGTGGCGCCGGCAGGGCAAGGAGCCGGACTGGGACCGGCACTGAGCTACGCTCAGGGGCTGGAGCCGACACTGGAGGGCGCTCAGGGGCTGGAGCCGACACTGGAGGGCGCTCAGGGGCTGGAGCCGACACTGGAGGGCGCTCAGGGGCTGGAGCCGACACTGGAGGGCGCTCAGGGGCTGGAGCCGACACTGGAGGGCGCTCAGGGGCTGGAGCCGACACTGGAGGGCGCTCAGGGGCTGGAGCCGACACTGGAGGGCGCTCAGGGGCTGGAGCCGACACTGGAGGGCGCTCAGGGGCTGGAGCCGACACTGGAGGGCGCTCAGGGGCTGGAGCCGACACTGGAGGGCGCTCAGGGGCTGGAGCCGACACTGGAGGGCGCTCAGGGGCTGGAGCCGACACTGGAGGGCGCTCAGGGGCTGGAGCCGACACTGGAGGGCGCTCAGGGGCTGGAGCCGACACTGGAGGGCGCTCAGGGGCTGGAGCCGACACTGGAGGGCGCTCAGGGGCTGGAGCCGACACTGGAGGGCGCTCAGGGGCTGGAGCCGACACTGGAGGGCGCTCAGGGGCTGGAGCCGACACTGGAGGGCGCTCAGGGGCTGGAGCCGACACTGGAGGGCGCTCAGGGGCTGGAGCCGACACTGGAGGGCGCTCAGGGGCTGGAGCCGACACTGGAGGGCGCTCAGGGGCTGGAGCCGACACTGGAGGGCGCTCAGGGGCTGGAGCCGACACTGGAGGGCGCTCAGGGGCTGGAGCCGACACTGGAGGGCGCTCAGGGGCTGGAGCCGACACTGGAGGGCGCTCAGGGGCTGGAGCCGACACTGGAGGGCGCTCAGGGGCTGGAGCAACCCTCGCAGAAGAGGCCTTTCTCTTCCGCCTCCGCTTTTGGGTGCGGGTTAACCCTTGGGGGCTGGACATGGACCAGGAGATGGTGCTGGTGGTGGTGGTGAGAGGGGTCCATTCCCCCTCCAGGATCTCCCTCTCCATCCTCAGACAGGAATAGTCCACCACCTCCCAAAACGTCCATGTCCTGATATCACCCAGCTCCTCCCAATCGAATGGCTCATCCAATCCAGCCAGAAAGATGTGGATGAGGGTGGTCTCACTGAACCCAAGCCCCCGGACTGCCTCAAGAAGATCTTCGGCGTAGATGCCAAAGGGGCGATGGTTCTGCCTGTGAGACAGTCCTCTGGCTGGGGGTTGGTCGATGGGTCCTTCTTGCTGGGAGCAAGCTGGGCGCAGAAATAGTCCCATTTCCGCTGAGTCCTCTTTTTGGTCAGTTCGTACTGTCAGGGTTGGTGATGGGAAATGGGGAAAAAGGAGCGAGGACTCAAATGCAGGGAAATGGGATTTTATTAAATAATAAAAATAAAATAAAATGCAAAATAAACTACCCCGAGGGGGAAAACATTAACAAAACAAATACATACACATACAAACAGGACTGGGCAGACTGGCAAGGATGAGGACTGGAAACACAACAGGACTAGACTTCAAACGACGAAATGTGATGACGAACTGACACAGGACAGCAAAAGTGAGGGGTATATAAACTGTAGAAGATTAACACACAAACAGGTGAACACAATTAACTAATAATGGGTTAACAAGGAGGGTGGGACAAGACAATAGACGGGAGAGCGCATGACACAGAGAGACAATACAAGCCATGCGCTCACATAACACAACAAGAACATGCAGCCAATGAGAGAACTCATTAACCGCATGTTCATGACAACAAACACAACACTGAAGCACACGACAAAAGCACGTGACCACAATGTAAACACCGAGCCACGTGCTTTGACAAGAGACGCAAGACACGAGCACACGATGAATGAAAACTCACCATGCGCTCACATATGCAGCATGCATGCTTCATCCCAGCGCCGACCAAAACCGAAACCAACAAGACTGAGACGCTGGGAATGAAACACCATGCTGCTGACAGACGAAAACACAAACACGAGTACAAGAGCCCACGCGTCTGAGGGACGCAGAGCGCGCACGCGGCCACGTCAAGCAGGAGCGCGCACACTCTGCGTACACCCACGACGGCGCGCGCACACAGAGACAGAAACAGGACCAGACATGAGTAGCGTCAAAGATCTGCCACCAAAACAAGAATTTACAAGATCAGAGTGGCAGAACCCTGACAATATATATATGTGTATATATATATATTTATATATATATGTATATATATATATATATATATATATATATATATATATATATATATACACACACACACATATGGAATCGCTGCCAAAAGTGCATTAACAAAATACTGAGCAAAGGCTGTGAATACATTTATGTACATGTGATTTTTCAGGTTTTTTATTTTTGAATAAATTTGCAACAATTTCAAAAAGTCTTTTTCCACATTGTCATTATGGAGTATTAGGTGTATAATTTTAAGGAAATACAGGAATTTAATCCATTTTGGAATAAGGCTGTAACAGTACAAATGTGGAAGTGAAGCGCTGTGAATACTTTTCGGATGCATTGTACAGTGAAATAATCTGTTAGTGCATGTGTATGTAACTTGTGTGCAAACAGAATTGTAGTAATAACTGAGTTTGTGTAATTAGCAGCAACATGGGAAAGAGGGGCAAACGGATTGGTTTATTACAAAAAGTCATAAAACATGAACATTATAGTTTACATTTATATTTTAATCAATCAAATTTTTTCTTTTTTTTGCGTTTGCCATAAAATGCATTTGTAAAATATATTTATCAACAAATTATCTATCTATCTATCTATCTATCTATCTATCTATCTATCTATCTATCTATCTATCTATCTATCTATCTATCTATCTATCTATCTATCTATCTATCTATCTATCTATCTATCTATCTATCTATCTATCTATATACACACACATACACTCAGTTTATGTTAATATTACTGAATAAATATTAATAATTCTTTTGAGCAAATAAGATGCTGCCCCCCCCTCCAGAGTTTTTCTGCATATTTTGCGTATATGGAGTGACAATACTGTGTAGTCTTGATGTTTTAATGACGAATGGATAAGGACTTTGACAGGAGATTAGGTAACATAGTTTGTTTGTAGATATTGGTTATTGCGTCATTAGCCCTTATGCATTCATAATTAAAGCAACAGGACTACAATCGTGCCAAAAACTATTTGACCAGGACTTGGATTAATGCTAATAATATTGTAAATAATATTCAATGTCTTACACAGGAGCTACTGATATTAAATTGGACTCGCTTGTACTTGTTTACTTTTACAAGTACAAGCCAAACATCAACTAAACATATCCTTTAATGTTGTACTGTAGAAAGAAAGACACCTACACATTGGATGACTTGTGAGTGAATTAACAGGGAATTGTCATTTTTAGCCAAACTATCCCTTTACATGACTTAAAAATAACCTTTGCTTTTTTTGTGTGGCATTGTAAACCAAAAGTTTTCACAGATTGTAGTCTCACAGAATAATTTTGTGAATGTTTATATGTTTGTTCTCTTTTGCAGGTATGCATAATAGGCAAAGGTAGGAGGTATAGACAGGCTGAAGAAGCTCTGGTAGAGGAGAGTCGAAGTAACTATATAAAGGAACGTGAAGCCATGTTGACAAGCTCTAGGGACAGTTTGAATCCCAGTCAGTGTGGCCATGATGATCTTGATCATAATGACACTGAACTGAATATTTCAACACCTGCCAACGACTGGGTGAGTGGCTTCCAATTGAGGGAAAAGACAGAGGCTGTTAGAAACTGTGCTGCCCTTCCAAGGAATTTTGTGGATGCTGTGGTTCTGAAGGTGGCAAAGGCATTGCTGACTCTAACAGAGAGCAGCAATTGTGGTGACACATGGAACAAAGGAGGTAAGAATAAAGTTCTATGTTTGCTTCACTAGAAGGTGTTCCAATAAAAATAATGTGCTTACAATTTACACTCCACCCAGAAGTCCAAGGCCCCGTTTACACAATCAGATCTTGGTGCCCAATTCCAATTTGTTGCCTATATCTGATTTTTTTGCCTGTCCGTTTACACGTTGTTTTAATTGTCACCCATATCCAGGCCCGGATTGGCTAATCGGGAGGACCGGAACAATTCCCGGTGGGCCGGTCCGTTTTTTGGCCGCGAGGGCCGGTGTCCCTAGTTCCAGAATCTGTTGCTCTCAGCAGTCACACTTTTTAAAAATAATTTATTTATTTACTTGACCACAGCCTTCTAATTCATTATTTTACCGCAGCTCTGCTCTTTTTACAGTGGTTAGCACGTTAGATTATGACGCGGACAACCTGGGTTCGGTCCTTGTCTCAGTAACAATTTTTTTTTTCATTTTTATTGTTAAGACATAATACTGTAAGGGTTGTTGAACATTTGAAGTTCTAAAAGAGCTGTTTTCTCAAAAAAAAGACGTGATAGTGTAATTAGAAACTGAATTGGAAATAACCTTATTTTAATATAGTCAGTGGTGAACTGAGGTGGGCCGGTCTGAGGCTTGAAACTCCAGGGCTGAAAAAGAGTCCCACTCCGGCCCTGCCCATATCCAATTCATGTGTTTATACTTGCCATACCATTTACGATGTCGCACATGCATAAAGGTGGGTTCTAGCATCTATGCCACACTAGGCACAATGGATGAAATTGTCTTGTTTTTAGCTCTGCTAGTTTAAGCAGTGAATGGTTCAGTCCAGATTTATCTCCACGCAGTTTATGTAATTGTATAGCCCTGATGTGTTTTTATGTAGTTGAAGATGTAGCCTTTGTGTGTGCACTGGTGTTAGAGAAAATAAAGTTGTTCTACGTGTAGCCCGCAGTGCGTGTAGAAATAGTGATAAAAAGCTAAAGTTACAATACAAAGTGTTAAAATGATTTTGAGGCGGAGGTGGGAAAGGGCATCATCGCAGCTTGCACCTATGGTATATACCATTCAGAGCAATTAGTGGGTACGAGAGAGATCTCAGGTCTGGTTGGAGAGAACTGTGGTGACTGACTTCTTTCCTCCGCCATGTTTCCTATGTCGTTGTTGTTTACCATGTTGGCGTCTCCACACACGCTATTTCTTCTGTCATTAAACCACGAAGAAGCACCACATTGTCGCAAGTTTAATAACATATAAAACGGAATTCCTCAATAAATCTGATCTGCCTGTTTACATGAGTCGCATTGTCACATATCCGATTTATATCTGATTTATTTCCTCATATAAAGGTGGCCTGAAACCGATCTCTGAATATCCGAATGCATGCGTTTTTTTTTTATTTATTTATTTATTTTTTTTTATACACGGTCATAGAACAGATCCAATCTGTGTCACATTTAAGCAAAAAATCGAAATTGGGTCACATTTAACTGGCAGTGTAAATGGGGCCTTAGATGGTTCAACCAAACCTTACTGTTTGCATGATTGTCTACTTCTCTATGCCCAGCTGTCCCACACTTACATTGCACTTCACTCTAATGTTATTATGGGGTGAGAGAAGCACTCTCAAAGTCAGCACAGTGAAGTGCATTGCTTTATTCACATTCTAGTTTATTTTTGTATGTTGGTTGAGAATCTGTGACAGTATATTTCTAAGCAAATTCAGCGTTTCTTGTTTCAATGAAATTTACAAGCAATCATGATGTATGTATCAGGAGATATGGATGGTTGCAGTTGAAATTGATTTGTGACTTCAATTATAATTATATTATATTACGTATAAGATTTTTTATCCATCTGTTTACACTTGTCTAATGTTTGTGTTTGCATTAATCCCATTCTAAAAAGATTAGTCATTTACTGTGAGCATAATGATTGTCCCTCAAATTGTTGATGAACTTTTGGTAATTCATCTCTCCAACGTTGGCAAACGTACACCCAACATCAAATAATTAGACAAATAAAAAAGTTGAAGCAAATAAAACAATGCAATAATACATCAGCGGTACCAGACCTAAACGGCAAGAGTGGTGATATTAAAATCAAAATTTGAAGAGAAGGGACCGTTACAAAAATTATGACTAAATAAGACAAGCTTTGACTTATGCAAGCAAGTACAGATGCATCTGTGTCATAAAAGCACAGAATCTTTGTTGTTTATCAGTTTTGATAGCTTCTGTAACTTTTTCTGATTCTTCTGTAGCTTAGTCTTTTTTGTCATTTCTGTAGGTTCAGTTTTTTTTTTCCTTGCTACTGCTTCAGTAGCATCCGCTTGTTCTGTGACTGCTTCTAGAGCTGGTGTTTCTTTTGTAGCCTTTGCTTTTAAATTGAGCACTATGTAGATGCTGCTAGCTCTGTATATTTTCCAATATGTTCCTCTGTAACTTCTAAAGCTTACTCTTTTTGTTGCTGCTTCTTCTCTTGTTGGTTCTTCTGTAGCTGCTTTTATTGTTTCGGTTTTTTCTTTTATAGCTGCTTCGATAATACTTTGTAATAACTGCACACTATTAATTATTTATTAAGCAATACCAAATAGTTAATTCATCATTAGTTAAACAGCTCCTATTATGTTTTTTTTTTTTAATGACCCTCTATGCAGTGTGTAACAGCATTAAGTGAGTGAAAACATCCAGCTGAGGTTTAAATCTGAAAGTGCACTGTTTCTAAAACTATTGTTTCTTTAACGAAATAGTCAACTCAGAGTCAAATAAATAAATCATGACACGAATATGATGATCACTGACAGATGTAGATTTGGCTTTCGGGAATAAAGGGTTAAAGTTAATTTTCACAACAACACAGGTATACAATCAGGTATAGCCAACCTAATGCAGTGTTTGTTCCTGTTATTTTTCTGATAAATGATACAATAACCTTGGCTGCAATGCTAGCAGTTTGTTATTAAAGGAAGGAACAGCAATGAATTTTATGTATGGACTTTGACAGGGACTTTGTCAGTAACTGTTACAGTGGTTGAACTCACAAACCTCTGCAGTTTGTCATTACTATGGCAAACATCAGCTGTTCCTCCTGGTCAATTTTCAGAATACTTCAACTTTTGCCACTGTGGCCACTGTTTAATACTTAATGTGTCTCATTGTTATTACTTGGGGTAAAGGTTAAGAATAGAGTAATATGCTTACTGCATTGCTGTAATGCACTTCTGCATTGGGCTCTCACATACTCTGTAAGTACTTCATGGTGAGCGTTTCTGTCTCGTGCTGAACCCATTTGACCAATCACAACAAGACTGAGTCATCAGACCAGTCAGCGGAGAATAGCCTCACGCAAATGAGGGGTTTGGTAACAAATGAATCGCTGAACAAATCATATTGTAGTCGTTGGGATAAATGGTTTAAAAAAAGTTCATATTATAAGACAATGAAAGTGTTTTTTGACCTTGGATGCATATCAGTCTGTTGTTGGTGACCCCCAAACCCAATTATAACCTTTTATAATGTGTAAAAGTGGTTCTTTAGGCATCATCTCTGTATAAATTGACATTAGTAAGCAGTTTTACAATTAGTAAGCATTCATTCTGAAAGATCTTAAAAATCACAAACTACTCTTAAATAACTGTAGTCATTTTGTATGAAAATCCAATCATCGTGTACAATTACAATAATAGTCATTAAGTACAAAAACAATCATTAAGCACATTATACATGTGCTTATAAGTCAAAATACAGCATTTGTATCTGTAGCTTTAAACTGCTTAAATGTGTTTACCAACTGCACCAATTAGTTCCACCCACAATTGTGGTGTTGTCTTCATATATAATAATGTGATTTGTACTGTATTTGTACAAGTCATGAGTCTTCAGAGTGTACAGTAGTGGACCTAACGTGCACCAAAGAGGAGAACCATTGTTTAACAGAGTAGCTGGTGATGAGATTTTTCCTCCACCTGCACAAACTGTGGCCAAGAATCCAGTTCCAAATCGATGTGTTCAAGCTCAAATGGGGCTAACTTATTAACCAGGTGCTGTGGAATAATGGTATTGAATTCTTATGGTCTGAGAGTCCTAGATGCATTTTGACAAATTCCAGATGGGAAGTGGCTTCTGTCTGGCCACTCTACCATACAGGCCTAATTGGTGGATTGCTGCACAGATGGTTGTCCTTCTGTTAGGTTTTTCTCTTTCCACAGAAGAATGCTGGAGCTCAGACAAAGTGAACATTGGGTGATTGATCACCTCCCTGACTAAAGCCCTTCTATACCGATCACTCAGCTTAGATGTCCGGCCAGCTCTAGGAAGAGTCCTGCTGGTTTCAAACATCTTCCACTTACAGATGATGGCGATTACTGTGCTCATTGGAATTTTCAGAGCAGCAGAAATTTTTCTGTAACTTTCCCCAGGATTGTGCATTCCTGTCTCGGAGGTCTACAGACAAATCCTTTGGCTTTATGCTTGGTTTGTGCTTTGACATGCACTGTCAAACCTGGGGCCTCATGAAATCATTATTTTTAATAAATTTTCAACAATTTAAAATGTTTTTTTACATTGTCATTATGGAGTATTTTGTGTAGAATTTTGAGGAAAAAATAAATTTAATCCATTTTGAACTAAGGCTGTAACATAAAAAAAAAATGTGGAACTGTATATTATTTGATTCTGATTCTCTTTTCAATTACCCCATTAAATCAAATGATCTTTGTATGTTTTTTTTTTTGTTTTTTTTCTCACTTCTGCCTTTTCAATAGCTTTTTCCTGCAGCTGCTATTTATTCAGCTTCTTTTTTTCTAATCTCTAACTATTTTTTTTGTTTTTCAGGTAGTTTGTCAGTTAGTGAAGTAGTCGATCTCCTGGATCAGTCTACTCTGCAAACCCTTAAGAAAGAATGTGGTGGTCTGCAGACTCTACTAAAAAACAACCACCAGGTGTTTAGAGGTATTAAGCCTTGATCCAAATCTATGTATGTCAGCTATTGTTCGAAGTTTGATAGATGTTGAGTGTAAAATGGTAATCTTTTAAGTTTTTGCATACTGTCATACTAATTAGCCCATTTTTAGTAATATTTAAGTGCTGTTAATATGAAATATTGACATTTATAAGCATATGATATTTAAGAGTGAATATGCATGGTGAAAGGATCAAACATGGTTTCATTTAAATCTTACATCTCTCTGACCCTCGATGCATAAGAAAAGCATTTGTTCATACATATATGTCCATATTTATTGACATCCGCAATCCATTTCTTTAATATCTTTATGTTTCAGACTCTATGAACTGAACTCATGCACACTGTTCCACACAACCATGCCTTTTTCCCATTCGTTTAATTATTAATATTGTATTCTTATAATAATCACCATAGCTATTACTGTTGTTGTACTATCATTGTCATTATTTTAATTACTTTAACTATTACCATTATTGCATGTATGTGATAGGATGTACAACCCCAAATCAGAAAAAGTTGGGACATTATAAAAATGCTGAAAAAAAAAAAAAAAAGTAGTGATTTCTAAATTTACTTTGACTTGTATTTCATTGCAGACAATACAACAACACCTTATTTAATGTGTTCCTCATTTATTTTATTGTTTTTTTTTTGTTTTTTGAAAATAATATATTTCTTAAAAAAAATAGGCATAGATAAGCATAGGTGCACCCTTTTTTTTTTTTTTTTAGGAAGTGTTCCGGGCTCCGGTTTTCCTAATTAATGCAACCTAACAATCCCTTAGAGGGTTTGTATTTCAACAGCATTTGTGTTTTATGTGTATGCTAATGCAAAGAGATGTGTCTTTAATGTAGTTTTAAACTGACAGTGTGTGCCTGCTTCCTGAACTGTGCTAGAAAGGCTGTTCCAAAGTTTAGGTGCCAAATATAAAAAAAGATCAACTGCCTAAAGTTGATTTTGATATTCTAGGAATAATCAGTTGTCCAGAATTATTTGAGCATAGTGGGTGTTCCCCACAAAAACTGGGGAGCTAAGCCATTCAGGGCTTTGTGGCTTTATAGTCAGGGCTAGGTAGTCAATAAAATGTTTACATTTATACAATATTTAATAGGGAGCCAATGCAGTGATGAAAGAACTGGAGTAATATGATCGTATTTCTTTGAATGTGAGTTACCAAAATCGTATGGTAAGTTTTATTTTCCTGGGACTTGGTGTCTTCAGTCCCTAAAGGTCTTTTAAGTGTTGTTAAAAGGAATGGCTACATTACAAAGTGTCAAATGCTTTTCCATACTGTCACAACTTTTTCTGATTTGAGGTTGTACTGTAGTAGACTATTAATTTATAGAGCATTCATTTTAAAAGGCTCTTTTACAATCCTTTTACAATTTTTTTCTCCTTTTTTTCTTCATTTTCTCCTTCTCTTTTTTCTTTTCTTCTTCACTTCTCTCTTTTTTCTGTCCTGTACAATGTTTTTTCTTGCTCTTTTCCACTTAATTAGGGGTTTGTTTATCTGGTCATTTACATCCTTTTTATTTAGCAATGATTAATTGATTAATTCAATAATTGTTCTTTTTTGTCTTCATTTTATCTGTTCAACTATTACATATACATATTTTTCTTTCTTCATTTCTTTTTTCTTTATTAATTTAATTGTATATTATTTTCTCTTTTTCTACAATTATTCCCTTATTATTCCCCATTTTATTTAATATATAAACCATATGAATTGTCTTCTACCAACTTCCGTTTTATCCCATAATATTATTATTTCTTTTATTTTTATTTCTTCTCTCAATCCCTTCCAAACTCGAAACAAATTGTATGCACATTTTAAAAATGGACTGCATTTTTTTTTCGTTTTGTTTTTTCCACACACTGGCACAATTTGTAATACTAAGATTGTTATGCTGACATTTTAAGTGTATTTTGATGATTCTTGCTTTGTGGCTTTAATTCAGTGAAGCAGACTTTTTGCCAAAATGATCCAATCACTGTTTCTTTTTCTCAGTACCTGCTATGGTCTGCCTCTGTTTGAATGATCTAATATGTTACATGACCTACACATTTTGTTCAATGTAGTCTGACATTTATTTCTGTGTTTGTTTGTTTTGTTTTTTTATAGTTGAGGGTGGAAGAGTATTTATTAGGGACTGGAGGATGCATACACCAGCACAAAGCTCCAAAGTAACTCCAAAGCGCAAACCCACTCCATCAGGTGCCCTAAAGACCAGACTCTGCTGGTTCTTCACCCACCATCCTCACGGATGCCCTTTACCCTGTGAGGACTGTGCTTTTGCTCATGGAGAGACTGACTTGAGACCTTCTTTAAAACCCCCAAAATGATTTTTATCCGAACAGAAATTATTTTTTAGCTTTTTAATAGCATTTAACTTGAAATTTGGAAAGTTTTAGTTTAGTTTAAGATATATTCTGCGAAAAGATAGTTTAATCTATGCGGTGTGCAGAATTTTTATTTTATTTATTTTTTGCATAGGTTTTTTTATGCTTTGGTAACTGAATTAATTTCTGTTGCATGTAAAACATCAATATATTAAAATAAACAATAAAAATTGAACAATATATTAAAACAAAAGGATCAACATTTGTTTGAAAAAATTATTGGCAGGAAATCCCCCCATTGGCACATTAAAAGGCTTGTGTTGAGAGAGGTTGGGTGTTGTGTAAATGTTAGAATCATAAATAATTTGTAGGACCATGTGGGGGGTTGGACCATCTGTGGGTCATTGTCGCTTTGCTCAAATGTCAGTACAGGATATTCCTTTTAGACATGGAGGTCACTCAGGGGCAGAGTTTCTGATTGAAATAGGTATCATTGAACAAACATTAAATATTTTAAAATTAGGTTAAAAAAAAAAGTGAAGCGTGATACTGATTGGTCGTTTTGTTACATTATAAAATAAGTGAGTGTCTATTTATTAATTGTCAGTAGACTTGTGAAGGTTCAAGGTGGCCTGCTTTATCTAGATTTCAAAGGGCTTACTACCTTTTATGATGAGCAAATCATCTTTGAGTGTGTCGCCACACACCCATGTGTTCTATTGCTTTAGCCCAAGCTTTCTCTTTTGTCATTCTAAGAAAGTTTCCATCTTAAAGAAAAAATGCTCTGAAAGTCTAAATTCTCAAGCTTAACATACAACCCGAATTTCAGAGAAGTCGGAACATTCTTAAAATGCAATCAATCAGGAATATGTCATTTGCTGATTATCTTTACATTTTGTTTATTTGACAAAAGTACAAAGAAGGAATTTAGTGAGCATTGAGGAAATCCAGAGAAATCATAACTTGAAGAACTCAGCTAAATGTGCTCCACCTTTGAGCCACAGGGGTGAAAAACAAACATTGGGATCCCTGTCTTAAAGTTCAGATAGACCATCTTGATTTTTATGAATGACCGACGTAAAAGTAATCATCTGTCATGGTTTGGGGAAGAGCAGAGTTAACAACATGGTTAAGTACTGTATTAAAATGAAAGTTGATGTTAAACATGCCACTGTCTAAACTTATTTTGATGTGTTTCAGGCTTCAAAACCAAAATTGCTTTATATTTCCAGAATAAAATTCATTTGCTCGCTAAAAACATGGAAAGATTTTTTAAGTTAAAGATAAACAGCCAATCTCATATTGTTTTTTTTTTTATTGCATTTAAACTTTTCTGATATTCAGATTGTAAATTTCTGTCTAGTACTTTTAGGAAATCCTTTATTATATTTTCTGCATCAGTCATATTTCATACATTGTGGTAAAGCCTATATAAGATTAGTGAAGATAAGATGCATCTTTAAATTCCTCCTGGTGTATGTAATGATAATTGACTGTTCTTACATGGAGCCTTAAAAGTGTAATCATTTTGGTATTAAATATATTGATATTTTGATAACCCTTTGCTTAATGTAAGCAGGAGTGTCCAATGTTTTTTTGGCTCTTTAAAATTTGAAATTGAAATTTCACGACAGCAAATAATCAAAAGATTAGACAGTATTATTGTAATCTGAACAAGTCATTACATATATTTTTTTCACAAGTGTAGCCCACTGGTCATACAACACCCACTCGCTCCAAACTGGGGTCTAACCAGTGATTCTTTGCATAGGAATTGATTGCTCTATCAAGGAGGCTACAGCCCATGGCTTCTAACACCTCTCGATAAAGCACTTTTTGAGATTAGGGGAGTAAGGTTTGGAAACAATGAGGAACTGTAGTGGAGTAGGTGCAGGTCAAGTAGGTCACCAGGTGAGTATTTACACTAAGTGGCGGGATTGATGAGAATGAGGAGACTCATCTGTCACTAGGGTGTTAGCAGGAAAAAGAAACACAGACTATCAAGTGCGTTAATGCCAATTTTAACTACAGTTGTTGTTTTTTTTTAAGGAGCGTTCTTGGCTCTGATTCATTTGATTAATGCCACCAGTATTAATTATAACTGCTGTGTTTAGAAACACAGCCTTTTGTTTTTTTGTTTGTTTTTTGAGGTAAGAAAAAAATGTTCAGATCTGGTGGACTTTAAAGAGTTTTCGATTATTATTTTTTTTTAATTCCATGCAAATTGTAACACAACTCTAAGTGAATCAAAACATTGAGATAAATCTGAAAGTGCACTGTGTATAAAACTATTGATTCTCAAAAAAAAGTTGACAGAGTTGAGTAAACTATTTGTCATGATTTTAAAGCCATTTTGTGTCCACTTCATGAGAGAGATTTTGTAATCTATGGTCTCTGTGTGTGTCTGTCTGAGACTATGTTGGCTCAAAAGCCCGTTCAGCAAGTTGTGGCTCTTGTAAAATCTTTGTTCTTCAATAGAACAGAGGACAGATGTTTATTTACTTTCTCCATTGCCACTTTTGACTGATAACCTTAAACAAAAGGAAAAAAGTTAAAGTAACACTTCAACTAGCTGCAGCATTTGTTAATTTGAAAAATTAATTTCCTGATTTTACACTGAGCAATACATATGGCTAGTCCCTTACTGTTTAAGGCTTCAGTGACTAATTGAGCCACTTATTTTTATTTAAAATTTTTAGGAATTTTTTATTTTGTACAGTTAAAAGTCAACAATGTACACATTACCAAAATCTATATGTACCCGGTTTTATGCAAACGTTTGTGCACCACTCTGGCTGTATAGTAATGTGCTGTTTCTCTATAAGAGAAGATAGCATTGATTTGCCAATCAGTTTCTAGAGAAAGCTAGATAATGTCATGCGTTTCAGACAGAAATCCATAATGTAGCAGTATTGAGATTAAATTAAAATGAAACTGCAAAGGTTTGGGCACCCTCTCTTAGTGTGGTTTTTAAAGCCTAGTCATTTAATGCTAATTCACAGGAACAGTTTTGGGGAAGGAAAGCCAGGAATGTAGTGAGCCATAAAAATATCTGAAGGGCAAAGGCAAAGAATAGTTATAATAGTCACAGACAAACTACAGACCACCTCTAAAGAGCTCCTGGAACATCTTGCTGCTGATAATGTCATTGTACCTACATCATTTTACAGTCCAGAGCACTCTTCACAAAGAACAGCTCAACAGAAGGGTGATGCAGAAAAATATTTTTGACAAGCAGAGTTGTTGACAAGTCTGAATCATTCTGGAAAAATATACAGAGTGTGAAGATCAATGTTCAGAAATCAGTCAAGGCTAAAGTTACACCAAGATGTTTGACAATGACTCAAATCAGTTCCAGATCTATCAACGAATTCAAGAATTCATGCATAGACACGATACAATGTTCTAGAATGGTCATCCCAGTTCCCAAACTTGAACATCATCGAAAATCTATGGATTAATTTGAAAAGGCCCTTTCACGATTGACCGCCATCAAACCTGACTGAACTGGAGAAATTTTGCAAGGAAAAATGGCCCAAAATGCTTTTGGCATGAATTCAGTGACTTATCCTTAGCTATAAGAGGCATCTACAGGCTGTATTTGAGCAAAAGGTGGCTCTACTAAAGATTGATGTCATTATTTGTTGGGGTGCCCAAATTTTTGCACCTGTCTGTTTTGTTATAATTCAAATTGCTAAGATCAAATTGCGAGATTTTTTTTTGCTTGCGTTTTGCGTCGACGTTTAACACCTAGTGACTAATGCCTAGTTCAAGACTGCATGATTTTAGCCACAATTTTGACTCGCCGACAGGTTTTGAGAAATCGCCGACAAATGGCTGAAATCAGAGGCAAATCGGTGCTCGTGCACGTGAGTGACAATCTCACAGTATGAACTATCAAAGACGCGATCTGAGAGAATCGCCAATGAGTCGCCAATGCCTGTGAGATATTTGGCGTGCTAAATATCTGGAGCTGTCGGCGATTTAAATTATGCCATGTGAAATGAGTTTTGACTGAAAATAACATCTGCGATCTCCTACAACCAATGAAAGAGCAGCATTCACTTGCGTGTATGTACGCTGGCCAGCGGGAGGTTGAGTGAGAAGTTAAAGGAAGTTACAGCTCATTTTCAGTTTGTTTGGACCCAAGAAATGGAGGAAAAACTAGTGTAGGTTTGACAGGAGCACCCGTGTCTGTTTGAAGTTTCATACAGAAAGTTAAAAAGTAAGTTGAGGAGAAATTGCTAATTCCCTTCAAACCCAGGTGAGCAAAAATGTACATTTTCTACCCCATTAAAGGTGTAATGAACCTTATTGACATTTATGTCCATCAGAAAAACACCACACACGATGCAATGTACAAAAGAGAAATGCTTTATTTACTCTAAGAATGGGCCAATCAGATGCGGGTACCATGGCGAGAGATATAGGTCAAAGGCTTCACGTGATTGTTTACACACGGTGAGTTAAACACATGACTGCAACAATGTTTCAAATAGCACCCAACACCTCAATCTACACTGCACACATCCCCTACAATCATATATTCCCCACATTCGCCTACCACACTAATTCCTTTCACGCACATAACAATCACAATCTACATACACAAACACAAGTAAATGTTTAAAAAGACTTCCCTTCACACAGCCTTCGAGAACCAGCCAAGGAGGAAGGCGTCAGCGTTATCACGCAGAGCTGAACATGGTGCACTTCTCGTTAAAGAATTCGTCTGTCTGCAGCTTGGAGGCGTGGCCAGGATACTCAGTTCATTCATAAAATGTAAAGAAGGCGGGGCTAGAGTCCATGATTTGCTCCCAACACATGACTGCCTCGCATGGTTCAGGATTGGTAGAGCTACGCATCGATGAATTTGCTCTTCAGTGTTTGAACTCTCAGTAATGATTAAATCACACTGAACAGAGCTAAACTGAACTGAACTGAACTTAAACACTAACACCTGAACCACACTGTTCCAGTTACTATGACCATTTATGTGAAGCTGCTTTGACACAATCTACATTGTAAAAGCGCTATACAAATAAAGCTGAATTGAACTGAATTGACTGTGTCAAGAGAGAGGCTTAAGCCGAGGTAGTGGGCAGCTAAACATTTAATATCCCCCCCTAACTCGACTATCTCACATAGAAAGCCCTATCTAGCTACCTATCTTCTTCTCCGGAGGGCATATTGCCCTAGAGAGACAGACCAGCGAAACCCACAACTCACCACCTCGGACCTT